TTCAAAAAAGGAGGAGGTTCTCAATTGGACTGTTTTTTTTGCATATATGTTACGCGATAACTCCGGTATTTGTGAACCGATTTTCATTATTCTTTTTTTGTTGGAAAGGGGCTACTTCCATAGTAGTCCCATTCCATTTTGAAGAAAATCATTCACCTCTAAGGGTGGCTGTTCACGCACGAAGACTCATTATTATAAATAGTGCCTAAACTTTAATTTAGGAGCAATTATATTAATGGTTGATTTTGCTATTTCTCCAATTCAAGGCGTTTCTCGATATAATTTGAGTAGTGAGAACCGATTTTTATTATCTCCAGTGTCAAGTCCTGTATAGTGGCGAACTAGGGGATATTTCAATAAAACTTAGCAAATAGACTAATTCCACGTACTTTTGAGGTCGGTTTTTTTAGTACTCTGTACTGAGACTATCGTTTGATAATTTTTAACCAATCAAAATTATGTTATCTTAGTACTAATGTAAGATTACGTTTTCAAATGTGTGCGTGTGGCGACACCGGTTTTGATACAAATGTTGCTTGATGCCATTTCCATTCTTTACTTTCTTCCGTGAAAATATGTACACTTTATATAATCGCAAATGAACAACACAGCGGTTCTCTAACTGCAAAAGTAGCTGATAGCTATTGTGAAGAAATGAGGAAGATGATGACGAGACTTAATCTGAAAGCCATCACGGCCTGTCAACCAGATTTCTTAGCTACTTCTCAATGATAACGCCAGAGTGCACACTGCCGAACAAACCATCTCCATCCGATGGGCAGTAGGGATAAACATGTTTTTCAAACTCAAAAAGCACAGCAGAAAAATTGGTGAATTAGACAATTGTAGTCACAAAATTCTATATATATTAAATGTAATTATTCGCTCCTTTGTTTAGATTATGCTGATGGCGTGGATAATAATAACTTTGAAATTGCAAACCGGACCGACTTCATATGTTTTTATGCGACTAGAACCAGTTGGTTCTAGTTTTTTTTCCATCCTCTAAGGTTCTAGTTGCATAAAAACAGTTTTAGTTAAATCACGTTTTCTCACTTGTCAAATTGTCTAAACTCGGCTATGGTAACGATTTAAAATAAAGAGTGCTTTCGGCTGCACGACTTGCTCATCCCGTCACTTGAAATTTAAAAAAAATCGATAAGTACGCTGTTCTATTAAAAAAGAATGAAACAAAAAATGTTTTCGACAATACATTTATTTATACACGCAAAATAGGCGCCTTGTCGTCGAGTTGCGGACACCAGCACGTTACACCAAGTACCAAGTACATTTATTTATTCAAAATGTACCCGTGCAGCCTAAAGTATTCTTTATTGTAACGTTACCCTGAGTTTAGACAATTTGACTAGTGGGAAAACGTTGTGATTTAGTTGGTTCTAGTTGCATAAAAATAGATTAATCCGGCCAGCCATTTCAAAGTTATTACTTATCCGTGACATCACCATAATGTAAACAAAGAGCGAATAATTACAGAATTTTGCGTCTTCTATTGTCTAATAATTAGACAACGAGGCGAATTAGACTCTAATTCATCAATTTTTCTGGGTACAATCAGAATAGATGGTGTGGTTCCCGAGTGGGGGTTGTGTCACGCCCTCGTAATTTAAATACTACGGACCAACTAGATCTGCTTTCTTATAACTAGAACCGACTAAATAATGACTATTTACTTAATAAAATTTTTAAATACGATTATGGTGACGCGACGTTGGTATAAGCCATGTTAGTAAAACATGGATCTTGATTTATACCGCCCATCGAACATACTCAAAAGCTAATTTTTCTGTTCTATATACTTTTGTTCCGGCTGGCTAGAAATTATAGATAAAACATTGTTACGGCTCTATTTCCATTGCGACGGAACGGCATGGAACGGAAGCTTCAATCTCGGCTCGCTACGCGAGAAGTCGCCCGTGGTCGCTTCAATGTTCGAGCATTGGAGAGCTTTCTCGCAACTGCGCCTTGAGTATTTCGTCGACGTTCGACGTCACACTCCACCGGAACTCGGTGGTAATGGCTCGATATACGCGAAGTGTATTCAATACTAAAGGCTAGGCTTGAGTAGTTCATGAATTAAGAAATGAATTCCTGACACTGACCGAATCTTTTCGGTCACGATCCTAATTAGTTCACCTGTCTTACTATTTTTTAGTTCAGTATGAATGGGACCTGTTTGTGGAACCAAAGACGCGAGGCGGTCTTATGGCTCAACTCACATTGGCGGAGACTCGAAGCGTCGCGACGCGTCATGTGTTTCGCCTATAGCATATTCATCTCTATTTTGCCATTATTAAGATATAAATTTGTGTTTTGCAAATATGGGTACACGAGCGGTTTCGCGCATCGCCGCGGGTTACTTGGGCGCTGTGAGGCGCCAACCACACTGTGATCTGGGCGCACTAATGCGAGCGTGACCGCGGGTCGCGGCGTTGTAGTTGGAAAACAGAATGCGTCGCGTCGCTTCGACCATGCGCCAGTGTGAGTTGAGCCTAATAGTTCACCTGTCTTTTTAATTCTTTCAGTTCAGTGACGCGTAGCGAGACAGTGCGAACCTTAGACCAACGAAACAATTAATGAACTATCATAGCTTTTAGTATAAGTTCGAGTGAGGTGCACGATTGAATCGTGCCAGCTCGTTTAAGACCACTAATGAAATCAAAATATTTAGATTTCAGTAAAACTCAAATATAAAGTAAAAAGTAGGTATACAATAAACTTGTTTCATAGTTACTTTTATTTTCGTTATCAAATTTAAGTCACACACCGTGTGTGGGTATACATTTTAAACATATACCTATATAAAATAAAAAATTCGAATACAACAAATATATACGTATTTTGTAATAAAATTATAACGTAACATTTAAAAAAAAATACTAAGAAAATAATTGTAAATATGAAAAATCTTAAATAAATTATCTAAATATATAATAAATCTTATTTATATATTCGAAAAACACAAAAAGTATAGCAAGGAGAGAAAACAATCGCTCATACGGATTATTTCGTGTCCGTGTTCTTCAAAGACCGAAGCAATTACTATTCCTTCCTAATTCCCAGATCCCAGAGAACCAAGGAGCTAAAGGACCGAATTAGTGCATTTGTCCGAACTAATTTGGATCGCTTCCTCTACAGACCGAGCTTACTTACTTATGCCTAGCCTAGAGCGAACTTATGCCTAAGTCTAATAAAGGCGTATCGGTAGCGGTGTTTTGTTTGATTGATGGATGTTGTGCGGGGGCTTATATAGGTAAGTAAAAAAGGCTGTTTACTCAAATGTTTCACTTTATTTTAAAGATAGGTTAACAAATATAATAGACGGTATCCCGACCTTTATCAGCGGGACATCTATACTTCGGTAATTATTAATAATTATTACAATTTTAAACATCTTAATCTAACAAATATGACTTTTACTTAATTCTACAATAATACATACATTCATACGTAAAAATTTTCAACTGATTTGAAACACATTTTGACTAGAGCTAGTTCAACTATGGCTTTTTGGCCGTAAGATGTAGAAATGGCACTTCACATATCGAAACAATAAAAAAACAATTACAAACAAATAGAAGATCAACCACTTCGAGTGGATTATATAAGTTTTCTTCTTTTAGCTCGATTTAGTGCCGTACAATGTGGCAATGAAGATTTTCTATAATATTATTGCACTAATTATTAGACCAAAGTAATACTAGGTAATGAAATATATACCTACTATGGAAAAGTATCGATACGTATTCGAATGTAAGTACTACCATGGTTCAAAAATTAACAAATAAAAGGAAAACAAATATCTAATTGATTTACTGTTCTTTGAAGCGTTCTAACAATTTTAAAAAAATCCAGAGGATGGGTTTCTTTGGGCTTTGTGTTAAGTAAATAACTAAATATTCATAAAGGCCTTTTGGCGACGCCATTTCGTAAAATATACATTTTTCAATTTTATCTCAATCCTTTCGGCAAAAAAGTATTAATTCGAGCTAGAAACAGCCATCACAATATTTTATTCGGATCACAATATTTCTATGGCAAACCTTTATTACTAAATTTATATAATTACGAAAATGAAACAAGGTGATAGTCTTGCAAGCGCGATTTGTACACATACTTAGTTCGATCTTATATTAGACAACTACTATTAAAATCATTGTAGACATGATCGAACTAATATATTGTTTCCAAAATGTTAAAAAACTCGCAATTTTCGACCAAGAAGTTTATTTTTAAAGACAACGAAACGTATTCTATACATCGCATTCGCGTCAAAAGCAATAAAAACAGGAGCAATATTATCAAATATCAAATTGCATGCACAACCTGAAAAAAAAAACCAATTCTCTTCAGCCGCTAACACATTGCGGAGAAACGTGCACGCGCATAAAAACCACACATGCGATCATGTATGGGTCGGATGTGTAGTATCCGTGTGTCGCAATGGACGTCGGGCATTATACAAACGAAATTATACTTTGGACAATTCTCAATGTCAATTTCTATCCACTGAGATGTTAATTGACTTTCAACTTTATCATAATGGATTTTAAGTGTTTATAAATTGCTTGCAAAGTACAACAATTTAATCGTTAAAAGCTACTGCTTCTAAAAGATAACGTGGTTAAATACTCACTTAACAATGTAATACGATTACTGGATTGCCCCCCATCAGTGGGTTATGTACATTATGTGTCAAGACATTATGACTACCATAAAAAATTTAACAGTAGTACACGAAGCATCTACTTGTAGTACATACAGTGGCTTAAACTAAGATGACAACAATATTATGCGCTTGAAAAAGCTTCAAAAAAGTTAGTAAATGAGATATACACCTAATGTAATAAAGAAATCGTACACTTACAAAGTCTGATACAATCTGATAAAAACAATGAAATCAGCAAATACCAATCAATAAGTATTCCTGTGCGATCGATTGACAGTGCTATAAAGGAGTCACCACTCTTTTTGACGTGAAGTCGCCGATCTTATTTTACCACGCATGTCGTATTGTACCGATCGGCCGGGAGTTTCGAACGTGTTTAATATGTTGTGCCGGACCTATTGCACCTACTAACGAGTACACTGTTATAATTTCTTGGTGCTCTTGACATCTTCGGGTGCAGATTCCTTGATGGCCTGTATCTAGTCGCGTTGTCCTACCAAAGGAAAACGCATACCTTTTCCGCTTATATTGCATGAAACTTTTATTAACCAGCCGAATGCGATTCCGCATCGACAAGCATGGTGACTCCCTTAAGACAGTTTGCAACAGAAGTAGAAGACGTTTTCTGCGCAAGCATTATGTTGTATTTGCAACTACAATATACAATCTTATACCAATATAAACAAGACAAAATATTCGAAAATGTTAAAATCATGTGAAACTAAGATGGTTGTTCGTATGGCCAGGACAAAAGGACCCTGAAAACGAGCGTATACGAAAGGTCTGATGTGAACATATGAAGTGAAAGACGTACGATATAATAACGCGAATCCAAACACTATCGTAATACTAAATTGTAGAATTGAGAAAATTCGATTTGAAATAAAAAAAACACTGACACTGTTCATTGTGTATTTTGTTTATATATAATATTATTATTTATTTATAAACGAGAATATAAATTTATTGGTTCCATTCAGTAATTTTTTGAACTTTCGAATTGTGTTTTCTCAATTCTATCATTTCTGAGTGACGAAAGTATTAAGACAATGATTCAGCTGTCAAAGGATTAATAGGTAATCAATGTTCTATAAAAGCTATTGTTCTTAAAGTGGAGAAGATTCCATTTCTATTCGTTTTGGCGTAACTTATCAAAATCGACGTTAGAATCCAATAGGATACTAGTTCGGTTTTGTCGTTTGACTTTAAACAAATTTGCCAACATTAATAACAAGAATCAGTCGTTCGAGTCAATAAAACTCGCATGAAGTAAGAAACAAGCGTAGTCTGCGGGTAGCGTATTCACTACAGTTTATCAGGGTAACTCCGTTCGCAATGCTTCGGCGTGTAAGTCGCAGATAACTATAACATATTCAATTTGAGCCGCAGATCTGCGCAATGAAGCCACCATGACACCATGCAGATGGACGGCGAATGGATTCTACACGAACGAGCAACAAAATCGGCAGCTAACAGAATAAAGTCGACTGCAAAGTCAGAAACAACTGTAGTAATAAAAGAGTCATGATCCTGAAATTATGAGTTTACATTTTTCTCACAAATCCTATTTTAACAAAAACTGAATAAGTTGTACTAAAAAAGGGATTAAAAAGCTATTTTTAGTCCGTAGTTATACCACAGTTACGTATTGTCGTTGGGCGTGAAACTATGTTAATTATTAATACATAAATAATTACACATGTATAAGTTACGTCCACGCGGTAATTAAGAACCCACTCTAAAAGTGCGTGATAAAAATGTTTATAGATCAATGACATTCGCTACATAACTCTAAATGTAAAGGCGACATCGCACAGCCGACAGTGACACACCGGATTTTATAGATTACAGAATAAGGCTGCCTTTCCACCAGAGATGTGCGAGGTAGCGAGGCGGTGAGAGGATGTGCAGTGGCGCGGTACGAGGACGCGTTACGGACTTTTTTCAACTATACGGGGCACGGTGTGGTGGAGTGAGCGGTGGCGATGTCTCAGTCAGTTAGTGTCATACTTTCAGTAGGTAACTCTAGATTCCTACACCGTTTTGCACAAGCACAAAATGAAGTAACCCTATTTGTGGATATTTTCCTCGCATACAGCCTGGCTACGTCACACATCTCTGATGCAAAGGCAGCCTAATCCTTCACTGCGCCACGGCATGGCCCATTTTTCAATTTGCCATACGCCATGCACCGCAACAGACGCGTCTACGTTACCACGTTCGAATCGTTTCCCTTTATGCGCAGTTGTGGGAAGTCACCTTAACAAAAATGTTATGTATTGCAAATAGTATTATTAGTATTCTATTTTCGTTTAAAGTAGACATGTTGGTCTTATGTTTTACTAATGTTTAGTATTGATATACTTTTGTTATCACCAGTCACCAAGATATGCATATACAGGACGCCTAAAGACTGATAAAAATTGAGAATTTATTGTGCGTAAATTAATTATGTACAACTTTTTACACTCGCCTCGTCGTCGAATGGTTCATCCATTCCAGAATCAATATGTAAACAGGGACACTCTATACATGATGTATTTATATACGTTTTACATTTTCCCTTACAAATGTTCGCACGTAATCAGTAAACACAAGTCATGAACCGACAAGCTGATGCATTATATAACACATAATTATATATAGATGTTTATATCAACACAATTTTGTACACGTAGTTTTAATATAAATTCACGATGTGTTATTGTGACCGCGGTGTTATTTCCTGCGATGTGTGATGATAATCACCGTCTAAGACGTCATGAGAGCGTGATCGAGTGACGTGTTTAATTGTGAATACATTATTATTAGTCACTACTTATTTGTCGAAAGTAACAAGACGGGCACTACGCGATAGCGGTCATTTTCATATATCGATCATTTTCATATATCGACAGTGGAAATTTGAAACACTTCAAATTTCCCTCCGTCCGTCTGTAGACGGTGGAAATTTGTAATGTTCTAAGGGACATTTTGGACATTTTTCCTTACGACACATTTCAAATTTCCATTATCGATATAAAAACAACATTTTCAGAATCCCCGTTCACTGATGTAAATTCACCTTTCAAACTAACCCAACTTAGGTGATTTTCCTTTGTTCTTAGCAATCGCTCGTCTAATAACATTACAAAGTTAGCCGACACAATATTCACAGGGCAAGTTCGTCGCCTCAGTTTGTATCCTCCGAACTGGCCGAAGGAATATGATCTCCAGCATCAATATAATCTCATCACTTACGCCGAAACCGCTAAACGAATTCGGATGAAACTCGGTTAATAGAATACACATCGAAAGTGTAGGGATCAAGCACGTTTTTGCCAATTGCTGAAAATCAGGTTTTTCAAATATTTTTTTTAACATCTATGGTTTTGTTGGTCAGATAAAATAATTAGATTCATTGAAAAGGTGTAGCAATCGAGAGAAGTCGATATGTACCAAAACAAAATCGGCGTGAGATATTAACAAAACTTGTCATCAAGTAATGCACTACTTCGACGTCATTTCAAGAAATTCTCGTCTACAGGTACGTATGTGTAGTACGTTTATAACACGATCTCTATTTGTTCAGTGCGTGGTTTAAAATTCATTCAGATTAAACATAAGTTACGTAAAAACATGCTACTGTTTCTTGTTACAACAACTAATAAAAGTTACCGTTTAAAACCATTCTATGTTTACCCAAAATCCCGCCCGAAAAATGGATAATATATCTTTGTCCTCTGCCATCTCACATGTACTCAGATCGATATACGATTGATTCTTCTAAAATGAAGATAAAAGATATTTCAACTTTGAAATTTGGAAACGAAGCTTGAGGTCTATGACCTGTAGGTGAACTAGTGTGGATTGACGATGATTGGTCGTTTACCGAGCCGGATAGTAATCACAGCTCATTTATCCTTGCACGTACACATGTAGTACAATGACACTAATCGATGTCATGGAACTTTAAGATAGCTCGACCATGGATCTCGGAGTTGCAGAGCTTCCTCACCACTTCCTGGGCCTCCTCGGCGGGGAACACCGAGTGCGGGGGCGGCTCGATCTGTAATGAACATTTGTAAATCAATAAACACGTTACGTAATACGGGATGAACGACATACACACAACAAACCGGGGTCCGAGTGGGCGAAAAAAATAGGGGCTGCGTGAGACGTTAATGGTGTGAGTGTGGAACCCATTTCGACCAAAATGTTGACTTTTTTATATATATTATGTAGGCAGCAAACAAGCATACGGCCCGCCTGATGGAGAGCGATCAGGCGCGTCACGAGCGCATTGCCAACCCTCCAGGACCCTTCTCAAACCCCTTTTCAAGGACACCTTGCTGTATTCCCGTGGGAAAACCCGGCCGGGAGTTCAATCCACAACCTAATTGTACGCGTGAGGAAGCTTCTCTCAAACCGTACAGTACGAGATCTTGACTTTCCATTAACGGAATAATCTACATTATACAGATAGTACCTATGTAGGTACTTAGACAATACTTTGTTATTGTAAACATATAAAATACCCATGAAGTAAACATATCACAACAAACAAGCAAGATATTCGGTTAGATAAATGTGTAAAAAACTTAGCATGAATTTTTTTTTTTAAAGTTTCTCAATATATTGTAAAAACTTATCAAAGTGACCAGCACTGTGACAGCTGTCAAAAACACACATTAGAAACAAATAAAAAAAAGAAAAATCCACATTATAAAGGCCAATTAAAAGGTCTACGCAAAACAGCCAAAATGGCGCGTTGACTACAAGACAAAAAAGTTTGGTAATCTCTAAACCAGCTTGCAAGTTACATTTGGGCTCAAAGTCAAAGTCACATAATCATTTATTCTACTACTTCCATCCTCTAAGTTTCTTCCATATGTTTACTTGAAAACGTAATTTTTTAAGCAACAGCTCATTCGCTACGCTGACCTCACTGAGAAGAACGAGAAAGAAACTCTAGCGATTGTTCTTTTCAAAAATAAATTTAAATGCTATGGAATACACTTTGAATAATAATTGTCTGGAATCTTGACTCATGTTGTCTTTCCATACGTCTTTATCTAACGCATTCTGTTTAAGGTTGTAATATAACTTGTCAATTAAAATACTTTTAATGTAAGTTTTAAGCTTAGGTAATGATAATCTTAATATATACTCCGGAATCTTATTGTTAAAATGTATACAGTTCCCCATAAAATAATCGTTTACCTTAGTTAAACGAAATCGTGGTACCATGAGTTTAGACTTAGTTCTAAGGTTAATATAATGGATATGGCTCGAACATATAAGCGCTACTAATATAGATAGCTAGATAGATAGATAAACACGTTATTCACTAGTATGACACAAATACAGATTGAATACAACAGGAAAAATAAAACATTTATACATTTATCTCAGAGACATGAAATGGCGCTGACTCAGCATATGCCTAAGTCCCTAAGGCGCTGGTTTTCAGTCAGAACCAACGAGAGCTACTAAATCTAGAAGTTATTTGCAATGAAAGACCTAATAAACGACTAGGAGGGAAATTGTTCATTAAAATAATAAATGTATTAAAGTGTGAATAGTGCATCTAAAGTAACTTACTGAATATGTAAGTGCATGTACGGATTTGAATATATGTGTAACTGTAAGTGAAAACAATGATTGTGAATATGTTGTGGTGTCATAAATCAAAGTAAAAATGTATATTTGGACAGGCTATGAAGCATAGTACATGGGGATATGAAAACTAATATTAACATTAAAATTTCAACAAATTAGACCGATTTTTGTAACGAGAGTAGGTGTTGCTAGTAAAGTGATTTGAATTTGTGTTTGGATGACTATAGAAGATGAATAATACAGTTATGTAGAACGTTGCCTTTAACAAAACTAGTTCTTTAAATTTCCGTATTTGCCCACCCTGTTTACACCGCTGACCAATAACCGCGATAGCGTTCTCTATAAACAAACCTATATTCATTCTTCGCATTTATATCACTGTTATTGTCGCTATAAACGCGCACATTAATGTAAATAGGTTACTATACTATTAGGTAAATAGGCATAATCATAGTCAATATAATTTTAAATACATTGATATATGGTTGATGCGACAGTCCGATCACTACTTTAACGAATACTTTCATTCAGCTGTGGCTTGCATTTCATATAAATGTAGTAATTGCCTCTTGAAAAAGTTTTGCGTAAATCATGAATAAAAAAAACAGCGAAAGTACCTTAAACCTCGAGTACTATCGGAACCGCTGTCATCAAAAAGTAAACAAACAAAATATAAAGACTACGAAATCTTGGTAAAGATTGGTCATAGTTTCTAATTTAAAAAGATGTAACAAATTCTGGATTATTAATATAATTTAAACTTTACCTAGTCGTTATTATCGTTAAAAGCTCATTACCTTTATTGCAAGTTACGACGATTTGATTTTATATTGAATTTTATGTTGAGTTCTGCCATCTTGTGGCCAGTAGCTGGATTACGACGAACAATTAACATCAGAATCAATTCGATAAACAGAAAACTGAAAATTTATTAAAATAAGACTTACCGATAATATGAAATACTACTGCAGGTAATATCTTTGGTGCGGCTATCATTTTTGCACTCCAAAACAGCACAATACGCCTTTTGAATTTTCTACGATTTTAGAGAATTTGCGCGAAAGAATGACACAACCATACATAACCACACAAAGCGAAAATTTTCGAGACCTAATGTTGGCACGCGTCAGACGTTAACTAACCACCGTATTTGTTTTTTCTGTGGATGCACCGGTACAGGTCGATATGACGCCATGCTATATCCGTGTTGACGACCTCAGTGGCCTAATGGTTTGCACTGATTGCGCTGGAAGAGATCTTGAATTCGTTTCACGGTAGGAACAATTTGGAAAATAAACTTTTTTAAATTGATTTTGGTCTGGGTGCTCATGAGTGAATTCCGAATCTTTGTGTCTCGAGTCCGAGACCAGGTGGTTGGTGTGTTTGTCTGTGCACATTATTATTATGATTTCCTTTTCTCAGCCTTTCGGTTGGTGTTAACTATATTTACGAACCGAAATCAAATAAAACGTAGTATGATGTGTATCTACGATACTGAGTGATGAGATGAGCAAATGGTGCGCCTGGTGGAAAGCGACACGTCTGTCCATTACAATTGCAATGCCACTTCGAGCTTTAAATGGCAAAGATCTGAGGGGTACTCCCACTGCGCCCGTCACTCTGAGACAAGTTGACAAGTCCCATGTGCCTGTAATTTCACCAGCACCCTTACCCTTCTAAGCAAGAACACTTTAATACTCCCATTACTCCTTGGCGGTAGAAATAGATAAGGTGGCAGTAGTTCTCTGGTCGAACTCTTTCACAAGTTGTACTGCTACTAAGTGTTGCTGGTGTGAGAGAGCCCATTTCGTCTTCTATCAGCATGAACTTTCTTATAATTCGTCACGTATTACCGTTCTTTTTTTTTTTTCATTAAAAAAATAACTGCGCATTTGATCTCCATCTCATCTGATGGACACACTTTTTTATGTAGAGGGTTTCTTTAAATTCGATTAATATATTAATTATTATCTACGCTATTTTGGGGATTTTATTGCGCAGGTTACATTTACACAAGACTGAAATATGTTAGGTCTGCAGCAAAGACGGGCAAAAATACATTGACCCTTACTAAAATCCGTGTACAGTATGAAGCCGTATGCGGATTGATATGATGCTGTACAACTCGTTGTAATGAAACAATATGCATTTAAAAGCCTTGCCCCATTTTGTTATGCAAATAAACTTGGGACAAACAACTCTTACGCTGAACGTGGAACAAATTATAATTTGAAATACTGCTCTAGCACTTTGTAAAACACGTATATTTTATTCTATCGTAGTGTTATTCATAACGTACTGCAATAATCTCAGTACAGAGTACTAAAAAACCGACCTCAAAAGTTCGTGGAATTACATCTATTTGCCAAATTTTATTGCAATCGGTTACCGGAAAGTGCGCAAACCCGGATTCATCCACTAGTTCGCCACTATACGGAAGTTTACACAGGAGAAAAAAAAATCGGTCTCTCACTACTCAAAGTATATTGAGAGAGAAAAACGCCTTGAATTGGAGAATAGCAAAATCAACCATTAATATAATGGCTCCTTATAAAAAAAATTAAGCGCTATTTATAAAAATGAATCTTCATGCGTGAACAGTCACCCTTAGAGGTAGATGATTTTTTCAAAATTAAATGGGACCACTATGGAGGTACCCTCTTTCCAACAAAAAAGAATCATCAAACTCGGTTCACAAATACCGAAGTTATCGCGTAACATACATACAAAAAATCATACAGTCGAATCGAGAATCTCCTCCTTTTTTTGAAGTCGGTTAATAAAAGTGTATGTCAGTCATTCAATCCATTTACACGTACCATTGCTGAGCACGCCACTCTGGCCCTACGCGGGATGGGGACTTAACACATTTTCCGAGGGTTGTGAACCTTTATCGATCTCATCACGGTGTTTTCCTTCGACGAAAAGCTCTTGGTAAAATTCAAATTAAATTACGTTAAAAATTTCGTACATAAATTACAAGAAACTCAAGAGATGCGAGCCCGCAATCAAACTCAAGGCCTCGGTTTAAGAGGCGGTATGTCAAAGCAGGTCAAACTGTTTCGTTTTTACTTCCGATGTAGTCCAATTCAGGTTATGGTTTAATCATGGACTCTAAGGAAGCAATTATAAATTATATTAAGTATGTTTTAGAACAAAGTTTTATCAGGAACGCACCTCGCCACTCGCGACTAAGTTGACGAGTTCCTTGAGCTGCTCGATGGAGCCGTTGGGCACAATCGCGATGTTCACGCCCATCTCCTCCACCTTCTTGGCAAACTTTGGTAGCAGTTTCTCGCCGACATCCTCTGTCACCAGCACCACTCCGCCCTAGTTCATTAAATTGTCATTTTAATTAAATTTTTATTCAATTGATATCCCATTATTTTTTGTGAAATTTGTTCACTAAATTGTTATAATTATTAATACAAAGATCGAACACTTAGAAAAATAGTCTTTCGATCCGGCCGGATTCGAACCGACGTTTCCTAGCAAACCGTGCCAGATGCTATTAGAACTAAGCAACAGAACGAACCAGTGAACCTCGCGAATTTTTCTAAGTGCTTTTTAACGGATCTTTGTTTTTTGGTTTTAACAACTTTTCAGCCGTAGCGACATCTATGAAAAGTCTATGAAAGTATTTCGTAAGCCCAGTTAGGTACCGTTACAGCTACCCGCCTTGGCTAGAGATGTCGCTATCAACTGTAATTGTCATTTTAACTTCAAATATTTCATTCAAACAGACTACTTAAATGGGAAAGAACGAGGAACACTCACTTAGGTCATTATCGCCGTAAGAAAAGGTATGAACATCCGTATGGTGTCGAGCCAGTGTTCCCATCTATTTAAGGTTACTTTATCGTAATACTAATAGAGTACTCACACGAGCTAGGCACTGCAGCGAGCGATGCAAGGAGCGCGAAGTGGTACCGAAGTTCATGACGACGTCAACTGGCCCGCCGCATGCGTCTGTCGTGCGCTCGATCAACTGCTTCTCGTACAAGTCCTCGTTCCACTGCACAACGTTAATCCTGCCAATGTGCGCTAGTCGTTACTTAAGGTAAGTCAGGGTCTTGTTTGTATACATTAGGTTTTGTACGAATTATTGTAGAAATATCACAGTTTCTACTAAAGACTAATGTGGTATAGGCAAATATTGAAACAACATGATTTAAGTTGTTGTACACACATGCAAAGTTTTAATTTTATGAAATCATTACCTTACGAACAATGACTACCTAATCGCAGGAACGTACACCTTGCAAATACGACTATTTTCGAACAATTCGAAGTTTAAATGATAAATTATCAAACGGTATACAAAAATGTTTAATTAGAATGATCTCCAAGAAACTTACTTTTCACTTTCTCTAGCAAGAATAAATCCTTCATCCTTGAGCGTAGCGACGGAGATCCGAATGCGTTCATGGTACGACCCACGCCTAAAGTAGTGTGTTGCGATGCGCAGCGCCCATAATGCAAGACCCCCAGTGCCTACGATTAGTATAGTCGCCTTATCTTTGTGATTGGGACCATCAAGCACCCGCTTTAAGCATTCCGCAGCCGTGTACACTGTGTTCATGGCCAACAATGCGCCAGTTGGCAACATCGCCGCCACACTCAGATGCAATTGGTCCGGCACAGGTACCAGGCATTTGAAATCCGGCACAACGATGTACTCCGCATACCCGTGTGGAACTCCTTCGTAAGGATAGAGTACTATTCTGGTGCCCTCGGTGATGCCTTCAACGCATTCAGCTGCCTTGCCGATAGCGTCTACGACGCCGGCAACTTCATAGCCAGGGAACAGTGCGCCATCCCGAAGACCGATATGTGCAGGTGTTGAAGTATGAATGCCGAAGCTTTCCATCTCTCCGGAAAGGCTTCCGATTGAAGACACTGAGGAAGTGCTGCAAACGGAGGCAGATCTTGTTCTGTTTGCGCGGTAACAAGCTCCGGCGTATACTACACGGATTCTGGCACCGTACATAGGAACCTCTGGGACAGGGACGTCAAAACTGAACACGCATTCTTTGAGCGTCGGCCCGGGGGACTCTATGGACACCTGTCTGCATAGTTTACTCATATTGACTTTATCTTTTCTGGAACAACAGTAAACACATGTTTATAGGTAATAAACCGTCCGCACGTATTCTTTACATAATGTGTTGGTGATAAAAGTAAGACGAGCCATTACGTCGATCGATTTAAGGCAAATTTATATTATTATAGTGTTACTTTAAGATGTAGGGGGTTCGCAACACTAGAGTCGTAAACTGTTATTACTTGCATAAAATCGCAGAGTAAACAATAATCATGTCGATCGAACGAATATTTTCGATGACACGTTTATTTCAATAGGTACTTCAAGGACTTAATATGTGTGTGCCCTCAATACAATGATTGAAACATTGGGAGCACTTTATGCAACTGATTAAAAAGTTCCTTTCATTCGAACTAAAGGACATTGGTTAATATTGACTGTTTAACGACTAATTGTAAAACAGTCTAGTAACTAGAATCTTAGAGAACACATTAAAATAGACATTATTTTGTTTGTTGTTTGATCAATCATACATGTGTTCATAATATTCTAGGACTACATCCTGCATAAAAAAAAACTCGCGGCATACGCTAACGACCCGCGAAATATCTTGTTTATTCGCGCGTTATCTAGTGCGATTATCGATTATGATATAACGAGATTTGCTATCAAAATGCTAATCAAAAACCTTGCGAGTATATTTGAATTATATTAGATATTGTTGTTATTCAACAGCATGAAAGTGGACTCCCGAGCATCATACTATTGATATAAATCATTGCCACAAGTTACCAAAAAAGGTATTCTCCCTCAGACACCAAAATGTGCCATCGTCCTAATGTTTTTAGGTTTTCAGTATTAAGGGCTTTGTTCGGAACTGTATATTCTAATAACTTCAAAAAGCTGTGTTAGGGTATGAATTAACACAGGTTAGTCGTTTAGGAAACATTTTTACAAGACGTGTAGTTGCCGATACGAGCATCTACTCCAAAATCTCTTGTGAGATAAAGGTGGCTTGCCACTAGCGAGGCGAGACCAGAATTGAATTTATAGATCGCGTGAGCCATCGCGAGCTCGTGTTGTGGTTGTGGACAGAAAATCGTCTAGCGATAAACACGCGGCTAAAGAAACACGTCTCGTAAATTATTACTATTGAATACGTTAACGGAACAAGAAACAGAAGAAGCCATCTTTTTTTTTAAATCTCAAATCGTACGTACCGCACAAATTCGTGATTGATATTAATATCACGCCATCACGAGAAATCGTGTTTCCGTTGCAGAGTATAATTACTTTATGTAGGCAGCAATACGTTTCAATATTACATCTACTGATATATTTCAATTCTCGCTTCGCCCATCCTCGTCAATCCAGAGCATTTCCACCGATGATGCGCCAGGAGAGAATTAAAATTTAGCCATACAAATTTCAATCCTCGTCTCGTCTCGCCTCGCCTCGCTGGTGGAATTAGCATCTTAATTCGCGACCAATCTTAGACGCGCAGGACACTGTGATGTATCAATTAATGCTCGCAATTAGCTTATTGCAACATTTTTTACCCAGATAAATTATACGCCTCAAGAGATCACACACAAGATGCTTAAGTGCAGAATGTTGAGCTTACTAGGTTTTTCTTTACGTGTGTCATAGTAACAAGGAAACTGTTTAGTTTAATCACAAAACAACATTATAATTACTGCGTAGTATTCTGTAAAAGGTCTGATTCTAAAGAATAATTTGAATCGTAGAATTTATGATTTTCGTGGTTATTCACTAAATTATTATTACTAATTACGGATTTCTTCCAACGGTATGAATTCTTTCTATTTTATCAGTATCGTTAAAATAAAAAGTAATTATACCGTGGTAAGAAATCTTCAATTAGTTATAATCGATTTGAAAAACTTCGAAAATACTTATTATGGTATAATACGCACACAGTGCATAGAGGGTAATGGACCTTAATGTTGTTCAATAAATATAGCGGCTAAGTAGGACGTCGCAGTCGTGTATATTGCCAATAGCTGCGTCATTATCTAAACTCTAACTCTAATAAATGCGTCGTGAAGACAAAGACTGTGAGCAACTCTAATATTTAGCAAAAATGTTCAATTAACAAATTCTGCTGGTTTGTTATAGTGCCAATTTCGTTCAGGTCCTCTTTTGCGTAGACCGAAGGCTGATAACTACCGTTTTACAAGCACGCAAGTTCCTAGTAATTTCAGTAAAAAATTTCGGTCGACAAAAACATGTACAAACGTAAACATTATAATCGACAGACCTACATTGCAACTGGCGAGGCCTTGCCACCACCGCGACACCAGTGAAAATCCATTAAAATCTTAACTTGGTCATCGATTTGTAAGCGTTCAAGGAAACAGACAAAATATTTTGTTTCATTTTACTCTGTACCAAGTAACTCTTGCCAAAAATGTTCCTTATTCGGCGCCTTATCTTAAGGTACTCTTTATATAAGAACAAATCAAATATAATAAGTCTATACCCATTGTCATTAACGACCTCGTTAAATTCACGTTTATAAATAGCCTGGTAATGGACAAGCAAATCGACAAACAGACAAATTAAGAATCGCTCCGCTTAATTGAAGAATCGGCAGAACAAATAATACATATACAAATGACAAGTCGGGTAGTCGCGTGATCGAATTTTTAACGAAAAAAAGTACCCAACAAACTTTATCACATAGGTATAACATAATACCACCTTATCTAGAGATTTAGTTAACTACGGCTTAAGGTAAAACTGTACAATGTTGCTGGGATTGTAAGACTGGTAAAAAAGACACGACAGAGTCAGTTGGGTGTGAAATCTTGTTCTTTTTTTTATAACATCAAGTGACGGGACGAACAAGTCGTGCGCCTGATGATAAGCTAAACACCTGTCCTTAACAGTTACAGTGCCACTCACCGCTTTAAATCGCAAAGCTCTGAGGGGCACTACTGCTTGGCGGCAGAAATAGGTAAGGTGGCAGTACTAAACTGGACGAACTCAGGAGTTCTACTGCTACTAAAGATTTACTGATCGATTATACTTGGCCCTTTTGAATGCAAGAGTTAATGCACTTTTTCTGAACAAGTATGCTCCATCTTGGACAACATCGCGAACTGATAATAAATTAAGCTTGCTTTAAATTGCCCATATCTTTAATAAGATGGAAAAACGTAAAAATATTCATTTTACTTATATTTTACACATGTAGAACTCAGCTCCATTAGGACTATATATCTCATTTTCATTTACGACACGCAACTCGAATGCATACTCCATTTTTATAATTTTTCGAATGAAGCATTTGAATTGAAGGTCATGAAAAAATTTTAAAAATTCCTCCCCACTACCTCAAAACTTTTGCCGCCAGTTCGAAAGTGAAATAATTTAAAGAAAAAACTTAAAGAAAACACAACGCTCGATGTGCTAACGCACCTTGATAAGATATGTACTGGCCCCTCCACATGCCATAATGAATTTTTTCATAACATAAGTCTGACCTTCGTACACAGTTGAACAAAAAGTTGTAATAATATTATATGAGAATAAGGATCTATTTTTTTGGTTACAGTTGTTTAGAATAATCTGTATAGTATGTTACATCAAATAAAGACATCCTTGATTTTAACACTGTATTAAACATAAAAAGTAATCAAATGCATTTAATCATTCATAAATTGATTTCATTAGGAAACAAATCTTAGGTAATGCCTAAAGGGCCCTCTAATTGCTAAATAACTGAACAATATACTAAATCTGTTAAAGTTTTACTTTGTTTCTTTGTTAGCTACACTGTTCATTGTTTATTTTACTTTGTCTCATTAATGCAAACCCTAAAAGGGCAAACAAAGAGTGAGTTATTGTGAACTTTATAGGAAACAATAAACAAGTTGTTTAATATTTTAGCATTATAAAAACATGTTGAGTATTAATAATAATAACCATGTTTACATTAAATATATTCAAATAATTATGTTATATACAGAACTAATTATGTTATTTTTAATTGATGCATTTTATAAAAATTAATTGCGATATTCTCATCACAAGCATGTTGAAAATTATTTGTATAATTTTTGGCATTTGGCAGCAATTTTTTCCTTAAACAGCACCCAGACAATACAAGAAATATTTACAATAATTTTTTTGTATGCATATTGCATGATGTCCTCATTTGCCACACACTTTCAGTAACGACGAAATAAGAATGAGTAAATAAAGTTAAGTTTTTACCTTAACCACGGAGAAAATGTCGCTAGGCGCTGTTTGTTTGTCTGACAGTACAAACTGAAATGTTAGTAATTTCAGAGTAAAGTCCAACTTTTTAGTCTAAAAATAGTGAGAGACGTGACAAATCGTAAGCAGCGAACCGTGTTTTGAACACTAAAACTTGTCACAAAAGACGACGTCGATCACGCGGCGTTCGACATCCACTGCCCAAACAAACCATCTTCACCGAATTATATAAACATTGCTTTGACCTTTCCTCCCCTGAAGGTCACGCAGTCTTCGGCGAAAATGATACGAGAACTACAATCATAGCGTGCTCTTTAGCTACTCCCGACCTAATAATACTCCTCATAACAAATATTATAATAACCGCAAAAAATTGCAAGAACAATTACATAAAACCATTTTGTATCTACACTATGACATATTCATAAAACGCACAGCTAGAAGACGTACAATTTCGAGAAAAATGGGAGTAATATAGTACATACTTTACCTTCTCTGCGGCAATTTTATTCACAACAAATAAAATATCTGTGTATGGTGTAAAAGTTTAAAAATTACGTTTTTTATTTACAAGCCCATGAACGAATTTTAGGACATTATTTTTAAATCTGTGGAATTAATAGAGCTGTACGCAATATCAAATTGCTCAAATCAATGTGTTTCATCGTTTTGTAATCGATTTTTGGATATTACGTACAATTACATTTTTAGACTATATTTAAATTATTTATGGAAACCAAAAAGATTCATTCCGGGGTTGGCATTACAGCAACTCTGCAATAGATTCTAATTGCCTTCTAAAATACCAGTGGTTGGTAAATAGTGGTGACGCCATTTATACGAGAAGGCTTTTAAATTAAATATAATTTCTATTTGGTAGGTCAATGATATTGACACATATTGGCATATTGGGGCTGATTCTAATAATTTAGTTGTAGCATTAGTAACATTCATGTTACGACTGAATATGAAACTACTATGTTTTACCAAGTATTGTCTTTGTAATGTGACACTGTTGTATACACTGCATAGTTCGATTTTAAGATTCAATCTGATACCTAGTATTATACAATATTCCGAATTGACAATCTTCTAATTACTTAATTATTTAATAGGGTAAAAATAATGATTCATGGATCTTAAAAAGCAAATTAATTTATGTTACTACAATAAATGCTACACATATAACAATTTTCAATACATAAAATATACAAATATTGTAATGTTAACGACATAAATTATTATAGAAAACTAAATTAAGAGTTTCGGGAATTGATTAAAAATAATCGTGAATGTGCCATCGATTTTTATTTCATAACAGCACTAGAGGAAGACCAAAATATAATGTTACCATTTCTCACAAAGTAAAAGAGCAGTAACTATAAGGGTTATTTTGTAAAAGAATACAGAGGTCCTGAAATAAGTCAGAAATAGCATTGTGGTCTGTTTCAGTTTGAGGGTAGTATTCCAAAACTGTACTCAATGCTCAAGTCAGGACTTAAGTATGATTTCAAGCACTGGAAATACGAATACTTAATGGCAAGTACTTGAGTATGATTTCTAGTGCTTTAAATCAGACTCAAGTCCTGATTTGAGCATTGAGTAGAGTTCTAGAATACGACCCTTAGAACTTACTGTAAAATATAATTCAGTGTTTCTCCAAAAAGATTTGTATTACTTATTAACTTGAAATTAAATACTTTTTATCTGTATTTGCGGCAAAAAGTCAACAAATGCAAAGAAACATCCTTTTTTATGGCAACATTGGTCGGCGTGGGTTCTGTTCTCTGGTGAAATTGGTGGCGTGGGTAATCCACGGTGGGTTTATCGTATCGTTAATTTTGTAGCAATAAGCCAGGCGCTGGCGATAATTGGTGAGTTGAAAATCATTTTACTTGTTTACTGTGTCCATGATGACGACATTGTTATTGATTGATGTCATCGTGACTGGGGTGGTCTTTCGTCATCCCGTGTATTTTTTTATCCATGCAGTTGCGAACGGTGAAGTCGTTTTTGGGTATGGCGATGTGATTTGTTGCGCTTGGTGAGTGTTTTGCGGTTAGTTTAGAGTGTAAGAATGCATGTTTTGGTGATAGACATAGAGTTGTTTTAATGTCTGACGAGCGCAGAGCGCCCGTGTAGCACCCACGGCTGTTTGCCCACAAAGGATTCGCTGGACAACATGAACCCCATTGTGTGCGTAGAAGTGCCTTGTCTAGGCATAACATTGATACGAGCCCTCGTAACACCTAATTGTGTAAAATAAATGCACTCAAAACAATAAGCCAGGAGGAAAATTTATGCAATTGTTCAATAATACCAATTGGAAGTCAATTGTAATGTTGTTGATCAATTTATTGCTGTTTACATTACATTTTTTTATAGATACAATATTAAAAAATAAATTTATGTTGATTTTGACCATTTACCTACAGATTGATACTATGTATGTATATATGTTCCTTGTGCACAGTAATAAAAATATTCAAATACGCACATGGTATATATACTATACCTTTATTTTATGTTCAATTAATGTAAGTGATATGTAATATATTAATTCATCGTAATTTTAACTTATATTTAAAAAAAGTGGTTATGCCACTTTTACTTGGAGGAAATATACAAACATTTTGAAAATTTGGTAATATAAAAATAGCAGTAGTGACTTGTTTGTCCAAACATATTTTCCATTAACTTTTTCATTAATATGCAAGGTTATTTAATAAACCCACCTGGTGTAACCCTTGCACCCCTACCATTGTTTGACAGTTTTCTATTTAATATCACATATTAAGACGTATCTGTATAGATGGACTGTACTATAATGTACAGTAATACCTAATCCAAACACTATATTTCTTGACAGCCCTAATTAAAGTATTTGCCACCAAAAATATAGGCAGCTTTATTAGATAGTGTCTTTGATTTATGGTAACAAACAAATTTTCAAAAGAGTGCATTGGTTTATATTATAATTAAAATAAAACAATAAAACATTTTTTCCTTGATAAGTCTATTGAATAAACAAAAGTTGATTATAAACACAAATTCCTGCACTTTGAAAATAACCATTGTTTTATAAGATATTGCATATGCGAAGACTTAAACATTTGTTGATAGCTTTTGTTTATTTCAATTTGTATGCTCCTTTATTAACTAAATTGGTTTTAAACTAGCTTATTCATGGTTGTTGCAATGTAAAGAATTGTACACTTGTTAATAATTACTTATGATGTTACTAGATGAGCCACCTAGAAAACAGTACTTTTAATGTAAAAATAATAAAATAACAGTACAGGGTGACTAACAAATACAAAATAAATGTAACTGTTGTTAAGTGGCCAATGCAAAGTGCAAAATTGTGCATGCATTTCATATCACAGCTGCAAGAGTTCTAGAAGGGTATGTGCAGTTTCTTATTTAAACTTATGTATATGAAAATCTGATTTATATGATTGTCTGGTTTAAGAGACACATTTTAGGCAAAAACAGTTCTAACTAGTACAGTTTTTATGCTCAATGGATGTTAGTTACTTGATACCCTGTCCTTCACATGTCATACTTACAGCTTATTTTAATATTTTACTTCATCTCTTAGTTACATTATTTCAATTGTAATATCACCTAAATTTTTTGTGTTATGAATAATGAAAGTATTTTTAAAAATAATTATAAAATACAAACAGTCTGCAAACTGTCAATGTTTATAGTGTGATATGTGTATATGGATATCCAAACAGGAAATATTATGTGCAAATTTCATCGTTATTGCTATTGCTCCTTAAAAAACAATATGTAAACAGTAAAAAAGACTTCAACGGTGCGTCCAATAAATGCAAAGCGAGTGACACATATTTTTTTTAAATATGCAACACATATATTAAGCGATATTATAATGTTACCACACCATTGCTTAGTCTAGAGGAAGTATTAAGCGCCAGTTCTGCATAGATCTATACAATTTCGCATTCTTGTCAACCTGTATGTGGACTCTTTTGATAGACTATTATATGGGTGATCCTAGGAGACTAGGTCAAGAGTTCTTGGGCCGTAGTCAATCATAACGGCGTCGCGGCAAAAATGATGAAATGTTGGCTTTATTAATTTTATAACAGCCTTATTGCTTTTATTTACTTCTTCCTGTCTATTTTGTTTACAGGGACCGGTCTATCCCTTATACGACAAAGACCTGGACGTGACTTATTTAGTATTTTCCTGAGAGAAGATCTAAATCACAGGTACAAATGTTTGAAATTTGTCTTCAACTACATTAGGTGTGATCTATAGTCATTACACAATAAACATAAAAATCACCTCAGACCTTATAGGTTCTAATGACAGTGGGATTACAACGTTTCTTCCCCTATTTCCATATCATAACATCCATTGTAATAGAATTATGGTTAAATAATAAATACTAATTTCTAGTATTTTGATTGTCAAAAGTAGGCTTAAAACATACATTTGACATTTGCTAATGCTTTCTTTTATTAATTTTTTTTTTTTTGCACATAGGCATTCAGTATGGCGATGTGCCAGCAGTACAGCCTGCGATGGAACAACCATCAACCCAACTTTATTTCAATGTTCACAACGCTCCTCAACACGCAAACATTGGTAGACGTTACCCTCGCCGCCGAGGGGCGACATCTCCAGGCACACAAAGTCGTGCTGTGCGCCTGCAGCACGTATTTCCAGGTGACTTATTCAACACTGCTTATTTGCGTAAAACCATCTTATCTACTATCTTCTAGTCAGTCATCAGTTTTACTTTGTATGTAAACTTTGCGGAATCAGTGGCACACGCACACTTTAGCTACGGATACGCCGTGTGGCCGAGGATCATGGTCAAGGACGTGGGCCGTTGTTACCGCCCTAGGAGGACAAATTTATGAAAATGCAAATTATCAATAACAAGTGTGGAAAGAAATAAATTTTTAACTCAAATGTTTGTTTAGTACGTTAAAATATTATGGAAATGTTTTGTTTCAGTCATTATTTATGGACAACCCTTCGCAGCACCCGATTGTGATTCTCAAGGACGTGACCTTCGCCGACCTGCGTACTATGGTGGACTTTATGTATTATGGAGAAGTTAATGTCACTGAGGAGCAGCTCACACAGGTCGGTGCTTGCTTAATGGCACCTGCTTATTGTCTACCACAGCCATTCCGCTGTTTAGCACTCCCCAGAAAATAATACCTATATTACACGAGAGAACACGGTTCGATTCCCGATAGGTCATAGTCATATCATTTATTGCATTATGTGTCGAAAGTTATACTGTCACTCTGGCACTAACAGTACGTGGATTTTTATGAGTAAGATACTTTTGGTCGAATATCTGGAGTCTTTTTTCTTTTTGCTTGAGAGTTTCATATGCCTATGACATACGATTAACCCTTTTCGTGTTCAACAGGTGCTGGACACAGCTAAGTTGCTCAAAATCAAAGGATTAACAGAGATGCCAGATTCGACGTCGCTGCGGCGATCGCAAGGAACGTCGGCGGACTTCCAGCAGCCCGGCGATGCTCCCGGTGACTCACAGCGCCACTCTGCTTCGCCCACGAGCTCGCCCACAATGAAACGGAAACGGTTAGTCGTTTGGTCAGTCTCTTAATTACTATATGAGATTTTGTTTCGTACTGTCAAGTTAATAGCTAGACTTAATTCCGCGTTGGTATTTGCGTGTATGTCATTTTGTAAAACACGCAATTAATATGACAACGATATTGGTGCGAAAATTGCCGCGTGTCATACAATGATCTCATTATCAGACATCAGCATCAATTCCAGCACTTGAAATGTCGTTTAACTGTTATGACAATGCCAGGCGCAGGAAAAGTTCGTCCGGGTCTACGCAATTGAACACACCGCTGGAAGAAGGTCGTGGTGAGGACCAAAGTCAGGCGGTGGAGATGGTGCGTGGCGACGCAATCACACTCAGCAGCGTGCCGCAGCAGCGGCGCGTGCGCGACTTCAACGACGAACGCGAACGAATGGACGCTAATGCACAACAGGTAATTAACACGTACTAGGACATAGCTTATGTTGTTGACAAGTAATAAGAGGACATTATAAGATAGGTGTTGCTGTAGGCCGGTTGTGCTGTATATTTTCTCTGTATCAATATTCGCACTTAAAAGGTTCTGTTTCTGCAGGGGTAAATAAAATATTCAATAATCATTATAAAGTATAGGAAGTTTAAATAAAATTTCCATTACATGTTTTTACTAGTCTTGGTTCATATGTGCAACCTGCATCATTGCACACTTCCAGTACAAAGCAAGGAAATACTAAAATGAGTTTCTATTATATCAATAAACTAGTTCCACATTTTCACAATGAGGTAGTCAGAAACGCAACTAGTAATTGTTTGACGCGATGTCTCGAAGCCCATTTTGGTTTTTTTTATTAATAATGAACAGACATGTTAACAGGAAAAAATATTTTTTTAATGTATTATTATTATATCTTGTGTACTACTGAAAACATTTAGGTATCCGTAAAAAGCTGATTATTTTTACGAAGGGCAATTAAGTTGAAACTATTGACATTTGATATTATCATTGCTAACAGAATGCGAGTTTCGCAAGTTTGATCATACTTACGCGCAAGCATTCTTCATTCTTTTTAGCCGTGTCCATGATTGAATCTGTATTACTTACGTAAACTTGCTGGATGTCTGGCTCATTTGAAATTTTAAACCGAGACAATTGATAGCCGCTCAAAAAAAATCCATATAACCAGCTATTATTTTATTTATCCTACACACGTAAGTTTAAATCATAGGTTCTCAAACTTTTTGGCAATTCCACTTGGGCAAGGTAAAAAAATTTCAACATCCATACACAAAAAAATAATTGAATACACGTATTTTTTATATTAACACAAAAAATCTGAAGGAAAATATCATTGACTTACAAATAAATGGACGACGGGTCTAATACAAAAACCACGAAAAAATGTCCCAAGTCAACCTATTTAAACGTAGTGACATGTAAACGAATATGAACAAGCTAAAACTTTGAATTTAAATTGTAATGTCATCGCAGTACTGTCTAATTTTGCTTGCTTCGCTGTCAGTCGACTAAACGAAGACTAAAGTGTGAATGACGCTCTGTATACGATTTTAACGCCCTATAAGTTCGGACACTTTTTAGCGTAGACCCGACGTCCATATAATTGTAAGTCAATGGAAAATATATAATATGATGATAATTCGGGTTTTTTTTTTCAAATGTTATATACCCCTTGGACCGCATCATTGGGGCGCCCACTTTGGGAAACTATGGTTTTACTGGCATCATGTTACTTTGAAGTTGCAGATTTTGGGTTAAATTTACGAGACAGGGGTATCAGACATTACTGATATAGTATCACAAAATCACATCACGGGTGCTCCAAAGCAAAACCTAGTAAGAGAAATACTTTTTGAAAATATTTTTTAACGTAATATTACTTATATAGTAAGTGCTCGTTTAATAGTGGTGACAGCCGCTTCAAAATTCTACAATTTATCAGAGATTTCGAAACTTTAAAAACCTAGTAGTAGTGGTTGTGGCACCAATTGAAAACAGCAAGTTTTTGACACTTGTTTGGTTTTAAAGTAGTTAAAGCGCCTTTCTAGGTATTTGAATTGACAATTAGTGGATAGTGGAAGTTTACTGATACTGAGAATTTATTAATTTAATCAATACAAAACTAATAATCAAACAAAATCAAATTTTATCCCAAATTTTCTAATGCAACAACTAAACCTAATAAGTAGCAAATGCTTATATTGTGTTTAGTAACTGACCGCTATAGAAACGTTATTTATACTAAGGGTATAAAATATGTAATATATGTAAGTTGATCATCGTTTTTGTGACATCAATAATTCGTTGATTGGTACCCTACTTAATACTATTACTTTTTTACATTTAAGTTAAAGGGCGACCTTGATTTGTGTTTTAGAGCTCTCTTGTAAAATTTTTCTAAAGCACGTACTAGGTTTCGTTATGGGGTAACCGACCACTTGACGCTCATACCAAACGATCATGCTGCACATTGTTAATGGGCGGCAAGTTCCGCGTTATTTAATTCTCATCCCAACCTCAATCATCGTACATAAGTAAACTAAAAACCAACAATTAAAGATGGGCTTCAGCCATTTACACTCTGAGATGGAATCAAAACCCAAAAATGTAAACAAACAACTGTCACTGTCAAAGTGCAATCTCATAGACCATAAACATTTTTTCAGGTTTGTTTATTAACAAATTCTAACAGTTCATATTACGAGTAATAATTATAACTGAAAAATACACTTTGGGGTTAAACAACCCATAGATTATTACCCCAAGCCCAGCGCAAAAGAACCATATCCCAGAATTTTATTCATATCAGGAACAAACTATATCGTTTTCGATATCAGTGGCTAATATGTCAACATTGCCTTTTGTTATTATTCAGGGGAAATAGGGTTAAATAGTGTATTCTCATGTATAAACAAAAACCTACCTGTAGTTTTTGTGGGCTATTGTTAAAATACTAATATTAGCAAATACTTACATACTTACTTTTTACTTATTGTGTTTATTTTCTACTTTGTAACGTTTAGTTGAACCTTAAATAAGTTGCGCCTAGAAAGTTACGCATTAGGTCACGTGGAGTGTGCAACACCTCAAATTAGAATCGTGAAATAAAATACGAAACGCAAAATCAGACATTGTTTAATTACAATAATTGAGCACACTTATTTTCTAACTTATACATTTCTTTCTAAATTAAATAAAAAAAATATTTTGTTAATAAAAAAAAACATTTGTAAAACCTATTTATTTTTTCACAATTTTGGCAGACTAGAATCATGTGATCATTGCACACGTTTTAGGCATTTGGAACATTCCGTCTTTGTTTTTTGGTCCTTGATCCAAAGATATTTATGGCTTCGTTTAAAGAAGGCGACTGGACTGCTCCAGATGCTGTTTCAGGATCCTCACTTTCAAGTCTCCTTTTGTAGCGGTCGAGGAAGTGTGGGAATGTCTTCGTTTTTGTTTTCGCTCACAGTTATAGTCACTTACGATAATTTCATGATTTTGTTCGCCATCAGAAGCACTATCAATAGCTTTTTCTTCGTAGACTTTCAATTGCTGCGCAATCTCTAAATCAGTCAATGCATATACGTGGCATTTTACAGCAACCTTAAAACAAAAACAAGCAAAAACACATTACAGCATAACCTTTAAAATACTAATATATTTGTTTTATGAATGTCACTGATTGTATTGTCTGTTCACCTGTATTGTTTAAATGCATAATAATGAAAAGGTATATTTACTTACCTTACGGAATTCGTCTATACAAACTTAGCTTGGGGCGATACACACCCCAAACACGCTCTTCAAGAACAGCTATCACAAACGAGCGTAGATTACGAATGAATTTTTGAAATATAATCGTGTTTACGTAGCTACCTTGAAGATAGGCGCCGTAAGTTTAAATTTTAAAAACTTATGAGCCTAGAAACCTGCAACGAGGAGTGAAACAACACCCCACGCGACAATTAAGAGTCAAAGGAATAAATTTATCGTTTTTATTGTCGTTGTTTAAAAAAATGTGCACAGATAAATATATTACTGCAACATTATCCATATTTTTTTTCGTTCTCGCTGTTAGACCATGCACAGACGCATGTAACAACTTAAGAAACAAAAACATAACGAGTCGAATCTTTTGCGCCATCTGTAAGGTTTATACTTTAAAAAAATAGTTTTTGAACAACAGAGGTCAAAAACCGTGGTACTTTTATTTATACATAAAACAAAAATACCCTTTTTTTGCCTTTTAATTTCGGTAAAATTCCCTTCAACTACTGTTCAAGTTAATCTTCGGTTTTTATTTATTATTCGGAAACCTTAAAACCGCTTTCTTGATGACGCTTTTTATTAAAAAAAGATGTATTTATACATATTTAATTTGAAACAAAAAGGGCAGCCAAAAGTTGTTTTTTTTTTCTCCGAAACATCGCCAATAGGACAATAAATATTTCTACTATAATCTGTTTCTTTTAGCTTAAAAATTGGGTGTTTTAAATTGTATACATACAAATATTTTGTTTGTATGCATACAATTTAACAACAATATAAAACATCTTGCATTAATTTTTAGACCTTTTTACTTTCCCTTAAAATATTTTTTTTTTGTAATGGAGCTTTGTTTATATAGTTGGACTTTAAAGGTTTTTTACTTTTGTTATTAAAATGGGATTATGAAGGTGAAGATAGAGAGAGAAAAAGGGAATTAGGCGAGAAATATGAGATTTATTAAACAATACGATATTAATAAAAATAAATATTGTATACTTATAACTAATAGTAATAGCTGAATTTTTATATAAAAGAAATGTATATAATTATATAGTATGAGTGTCGCTCCGACACAGTTTTACGGTTTGGTGACAGCTTGCGACTACGTAGCTCAACATTATGCCTATATATCGCGCCTAAAATATTCAATGAGTATTTGACGCAATCAGTTCTAACCGCGGAAAAAAGTCAACGCACCGCCCGCTAGATATACCATGTCAGGGATAGTTTTATACGAATGTCCTTAATTATGACTCGGAAGTGATAGCACTTTAAATGTGAAGAATGAAAAACATTAATGTAATCATCTAATAACAATGAACGATATAGCAATTGAATGGCAACAGGAAATAGCCTATTACGATCTTTACATGGACCAATACGCTTTACTGACACTTCGCAATTTATATGAATGTATTTTTTTTGTTTTAGTCCACTGAGCAACAGAACCTTGGAATGGACACTAATCCCGAAGGAATACCCCAGGGTAAGTCGCTCTAGTCTTGATCATCGTCAAAAATAAATAAATGTACTATACAATCAGTAGGCGCTACTTTAAGACCAGATACACACGGCGACTTTTGCAGCGATTCATTACCGATACAGTCGCTAATCGTCTACCTTTTCACACACGTTTTTAATGATTCAACATGTTATCGGGCACAGTGCAATTACGCATAATTGTCGTGGAAATCAAATTAGCATGATTTACGGGAATATATTTTTTGTTAACATTCCGTAGACAACTTAAATTAATGCTTACTTTGTAGTAATGAAAGTCGTAACCATTGAAATAACAAAGTAATAACTTTAAATTCCTTTCTGTGAAATTTGATTTAGTGCAGATATGCGCTTTTTACCAATACTATATACACGAATTTGGACTATCCCCGATGTTAAACGACTGCATCGATGGACTCGCGCGTTTGTATGAATGCATTCGCCTATAATTGGGAAGTGTCGCGATTCAATCGCGCGTTTCACAAACACTCGTTTGTATCGCTGCTAAAAGTTTGCCGTGTGAAACCGCTCATAACGTCACCAAAAAGCAAAGTTACTGTTAAAGAAAAAAGTTCAGTCCAAAAAAGATTGTACCATTTTCTTGACAGTTAATGGTCTCACCCGCCTTGTATGTATATGTATGCCATAATGTGATATCGTTATATGAACTCCATATGCTATAAAGGGTTGTATAAATGTTTTTTGTAAATTACTTTACAATTAATTCACTTTATTAATGAGGTGGCGATGTGTAACGAAACTATGTCTCGCCAACGGAAACATTCAAAATTATGTTATGCGAACAGGAGTACTTTAAAATAATTTTAACTTTGCAGAAGATAATATAAAAGGTACATTACCTTCTACTTCATCTACCTATCTGAATACAAGAAGCTTTATCTGTATTTTGATCTACGAACTTTTAAAATTATTAGTCAGTTTACTCGTACCACCTTGTAGCTGTGTGTGTTTTGCACACCGCGCCACTAGTTTAAAACTGGTTTGGCATAAGGTATTTCAATATTTTGATTTCATATTACATTTTTATAGGTTTTTTAGTGTTATTGTGCGCAAAATGAGGTGTTGTATTCATAAGAGAAAAACTAAAAATGCGTTTGTCTCACTCTCTTTTCTCGAATATATTGTCTGAAAGTCACAACTATCTTTTTGTGTCTAGAGAGGCCATTTACCACTCTGGACACACGTTCCCTCACTCAATCTGGTAATTTCGCAACCTATCATAGTGTCATACTGTCATTTTAGGATTTGATTGTTTTGTCGTGTCGATTTTGGATATTCACATAAATGCCTATCGTTAGTATACATGACAACTTTAGTCAAATTTGATATTCATGTGTGGTGAGTGCTATTTAAGAATTTGTAGTTCAGCTTGAAATGTTCGTCCTACTGCACATTTTATTTAAACAAATATTTCGATTTCATTTTTAAAATTATTAAATACTTGGTATATCCATACTGTAAGTATATAAAAGCTCTCTCGGCGATGTTATTATGACATAGACATAGATAATTAGGCAATTTCTTAAACTAATAATAAAAGGTAAACACTTTGTGTGCTGTTCATTGCGTTTTTTGTCTAAGTAGGCCACACAACATTCGTACTTATAAACTTGAAATTCAACATTCAGACAGACAGAGAGAGAAACGAGATTATAGATATTACGAAGTAAAAGAAGACACAAGAAGGCGACATTTGTGTTTATGGTCTCTTTGTTGTTTGACATTTGCGGCTTGTTCCGACGGTCACAATTCGCCAGCCTGGTATTTATTTGTATATGTGTTTCATCTATCATTCTAATGTTGATTTAATTTTCTTTTCAGCCTTTTAAATTTTGATTATCCAACTTTATAATGCTTTGTGTTTTTAATGTGAAATATCAGCAATATATATTTTAATTCTATATATTATTGCTCATAAAAAGTTATTTTTTATTTGTTGTATAAATACCGGGCTGCGTTTGTTTTCCAGGGAAGGGAGATCAATGACAATTGTAGATTCTGTATGTATAAAATTGAAGTTAGTGTAATTTAGCAATGTTCTTAAAAATCGTTTATCTCTCTTCCCAGGAGGAGGACAATGGAGTATGATGGAGCACACGTATCCGCGGTACTCGAACGCGTGTATCAGCGGTGGCCTGCAGCCGGAGCCGGGCATGTACATCAACAACGTGATAAATCCGCATATGGGGGACATGGGTGATTACGGGCAGGCGCTTGGGGTGACTCACCCGTCGCCGGGCCCCTCGTGTGTCGATGCGCCGCCGGCTGGCGACCAGCCACCGCCGCAACAAACCAAGCGCCGCCGCACCACCAACCCTCAATCCGAAGAGAACTTCCAACGAGCGCTTGAAGCCGTGCGCTTCGGAGGCATCGGCTTTTGCAAAGCGGCACGCATGTTCGGCGTCAACAACCGAACTCTATGGCTTGAGTACAAGAAGAAAGGCTATCCCAACAACCGACCCAGCATTAAAAGCCGCATTAAACGCGAACACACCACACCCCCGCCGCGCGACCTTAAAGAAGAGGCGCCGCCGCAGCCTGAACAGCAAATGGCGTTGATCTGCCCGCCGCACCCCGTGCCTGTTAGCTTCATCGACTCACGGCCAATGGATTTCCCATTACAGGGTGTGCCGCACAATTCTCCCCTCAACATTTTAGGCGTGAATTTTAATTCCATCCAATAGAACGCGGCGTGCGGCGCGGTAGGTGACGAGTCATACTCCTTGTGACCCGAGTGGCCGGGCGCGGATCTGGCGTCCGCCGTCGCCGACGTCCCGCCCTTGGTGCCGCCCGCGCCCGCCCCCTCGCCCCCGCGCCCGCACCCGCGCTACGATCTCTATATGCACATGTCGCTGTAAACCGACGTGCAAAAAAGTGCACCTCCTAAACGCCCTTTGATAGGACCATTACATGGGCTCCACTACGAGCAAGGAATAAAATATGTAAATATTAGTTACCCCGCCAGTATTACACGTACTATCACTAGCGTATTATTATAATGAGATATCCCATAGTCGTATGTAATGCACACGCTACGTAGCGATGTCCTCGCCGACACGCATTCTTAGAGTTAAGTTGAATCGATAATAATGATAAGTTTATATGTAAATCGGCCAGTGCAGATATTTTGTGATAATGACAATTATTAATTTTATCAATGTATAAATGCTCGATCTGCGCTGACCTTGAGGGCTAATTCAGACTGAGTACACAAAATCGTATCAAGTATCAGTAGCACAGTCTGAATTATACTTAGTCCGGCTTAGTTGCCCGGCGTTTGTTGAACGAACCGTTCGAACCGTCTTTGCCATAATCAATTATGTATATTAGATCTCAATAGAGCCGTAAGTTGTGAATGAATCGGTACAGTAGAACGCTTTTAAATTTGCACAAGTAGGTTACGCGTTGAGGTAAATGAAATGTGATAGCGAATTTGTAACGTTATGATATTGGGGAAGTGCACGCGGCTGCTGGCTACGGCACCTCACTTTTTATACTTAATTATATTTACTACATTTTATTCAGTCAACTTTAGGAACACAAAAATGGAACTCCAATTTGAACAAAACTATAATTTCGAAGTGTAGACCAAGTTTGTCTGTACACTTATCGACAAACAATCTCTCCATCTATAAAGTTACGGGCTTTCCATTGAACCAGCCCAAAACCTCGACAATATGAATCGTGTTCTAAATAAAAACAAAATGTGAATCTTCGGACGGACTAATACCCTGTTAACCAGTAAAGTTGCATAAAAGTCGTTCAAGTGTTTGATGAATAGTTTTTTAAAAGTAGACTCTTTAAAATTGCAGCCGCCCGTGTCAACAATTGCCATTAACATTTATCGTAACTACCTCTAGTTTAGTATTCCTTTCACAAGTCACTTTTGTACGGACAACGGCACATCATACTACACATTTGTGTTCGAAAATCGCCTCCAACGCAACGGAACAAGATACGTCAATGTGTAGCTTGATGTGCTAGCGTGTACAGCAGCCAAAAACGACTTAAGTATTATTTTTTAATTCAACATTGAATTTTAATAACGGTATGCTAAAATTGTAATTAAGTTTTTTATATGTGTTCTTCGTACTTATTAATAAGTACTTTTTTATATTATTGCTATTGCGATTACTTTTTATGGTCCCTTTTGTCGGACTAAATGTATGGCAGTGAATAGGCCGCTTTTTTATAAACGGTCGCTGTGGTCACAGGACACGTACTAGATGGAAGTAAATGTACTATTCATTATTTTATACTGAATGCGATTCGAGCGCAATAAATATTCTATATAGCAATATTTGTGGATTGAAGAATTATTAATATCGATTCATTTTGATACAACGCTACCTTTGTTCGTGTTTTTAAGTTAAATTTGACGCTAAATTCTGAAGAGTTATTCCCAAACTGGTTTTGCATTATTAGCCATTCATTATCTTGACTTTTTTCTTATCAAAGCTTATTTGTCTACATTTTTTATATTATAATTTTATAAATATTTTGTTATAATGCTACATAATGAAATTAAGATAAGTTTTATCTTTAGCAGCGTTTAGGCAACTCTTATGAACAATATATCACTAAATGAGATCTCGGATTTTGTATAGTAACGTGGGAAGTTACAGTTTTGGTCAGCGTACAAGAAATGAACATTTAAGCCGTAGAAATTATCTTGCAACTTCGCTAGGGTGATTGAAAGGTTTAAATCATTCGGAAAACTGGTCGAGTGATCCCGTGTAGGAGTTCGCGCGGCTTCACAATCAGAAGTACCGAATTTGCCGAAAGTGTAATCGAGCTAGGTTCCGAGATAACATTTTGCGGCGGCAAATTTTTGACAATATTTATTAGTGGTAAGATTTTGTTAGATTAAGGCAGCTTTATAGAAACAAAACCGTTATTGATTGGTATTAAAACAGCAAAGAAATTCATAGCTGCACAAAATACAAAAATCATTTAGATTTTCTAGTTCTAAAACGTGTGTATAACAGTCTATTCGATTTTAACTTAAATTCTTTAGCGCTCCAAAATCTTTACAAAATATCAAACTTGTACGATGGTCAAAAGTGTTGTCTTTTCTGAAGTTAGGCTATAGGTTAGTGATCCCAAGTGTAAACTATAGTATATAATATTAGAGATACAATATCATGCATTTATAGGTAGATTAGTGTAGAATAGAGTTAACTTGCATACGCGAATTTTAGTCGTGTGAACGTATCATGAACGGTACTAGTGTTTCGATTTAAGATATAAGGGGTACGTACTCTTTTTTTATTCTTTAATACGATGACGAAATATCCCTCAGCTGAGGTGTTGCTGGACAACACAAAGCGATTCTCATCTTTTTCACGAGGAAACCTGCATTTGCCCTAATAACATTGCCTCGCGAGGTAATTATTATACATGATAATGATTTATTATTATTAACAAATCAAAACAAATCCGTTTACTCGTTGGGGCTAGCATCCACGTAAGTTGATGCAAATGATAAAAAATTTGATGTATCCACAGTACGTACTCTGAGTGTAGCGGACGCGTACATAACTTTAATCAAATACGCGTGCGCGTGTATTGCGGTATCACACCGCAAAATGTCAATTGAAATAATTTGTGTACACTTATGTTTATTATTTGAACCTTAAAACAATATGGCCTAATATGTATTTACTACATACATTTCACTGTTGAATTAATGCGGCCTAATTCGCATAGAGCGTGTACATTTTAAAATGTGCGGAGGAGCGATTCAGAACAAAATAGTTGCAATATAGACGAGTGTCAATACGTGTCGTAATATACCAGTTATAACCTTCTCTAATCTCTTATACCACAAGAAATATAAGAGGTTATCGCCTGATAGCCTCTTATATTTGTTGTGAGTAGAGTTAGAAGCCACGGTAAAACTGTTTTTGCCTAGGTAAGGTAAATAGAACGATGTTGGTCGGTAAATGAAGTACAGTCGATGACCCTTGTTGTCTGACCACGGCAGCTAATCAGAATATTTTAGTATACGTGACAACTGACCGTATGTATATTATCTGTAACGTAGACTACCGTTAGTACTTATATTCAACCTACTTAATGAGTATTATATTTTTCTATTGTATTAGATTTACAAGGATTTATTTTATTTGTGTGCGAAGATCTCTTATTTTTGACTGATTTTTTACTTCTACATTTTAAAGAAACTCATTTTATCTAATGCGGCATAAGGAGCCGTATTTGTCGATCCGTGTACATAGGTTGTATATATTTATAAATAAGCAATAAGTATACAGGGCCGTTAATGGAATCTTTACTAGATTTAGTTTGGGAATGACCCAATCTATCTATTTTAACTTTTGTAACTTGGAAGTGTGAACTTAAAAGATTTTGCAAGCTTGCAACGGCAGTTTGTTCGATTCGTATGTGAAGTAAGTAATTATATGAATAGGTACGACTTCATGTTAATTAATGTTCTTCTAAAGATTTTATTAACACCTGTGCAAAAGCAGGCATAACGCAAATTCTTAAGACTGCGTACATACATCACACTGTAATGTCTATTATTATTTGTGCCATTTTCGTACTGTCGCAAACAGAAGGTGTATTGCGTTGCTGTACGATGTTAGACCACCCGTAATTGGTTATTGGCGTCAAAACCATATACGAGTGCAACGTTGGTTAAAATTCAATTAGTGCACACTGTTTTGGTTACATTGACAGCTATTATAGATTAATCCCAACCCAACTAGACCATCTAGTAAGCCCACAGGAAGTTTCTTTCGTTGGAAGGAGGAAAACCTAAAATATCATCTAACTTCAGACTAATACCTCCTCACGACTCGACCCTATAATTACTGGCGGGATGTGCGCCCATCTTTTTTGTGATCCCTGATATTAAAACTAATTTTAATATGTAGTAATGTCCAACAACGCTACAACGAATTTACATAGACCTTATTCTCCGTGTTTTGGGCTTGTTTACACTGTCATAGTTGTCAGGAGATTAACGGTGATCACAATGTATGAAATTACTGTTCGCAGAGTAAACGTTTGTTTTTGTTTAAACGTCATTTTACGGAATTAGCTTCCTATATGCTCCTTTCTAATAGACACATAAATAATGTGCATGAAGAGGAAGAACTGATAAGCAATAATTTTTGTGTTAACCACAAAAATTCTAAAATTGAGATGTTGATGCCAAATTATAGCTAATCGTCTCGTCTACATTTTAATTTGAAACCTCCGTATGTGAAAAATATTATAAAAAACAGTTGACATAAATCCCATTACCCACAACCACAAAAATAATCTTTAGACGTCATTTTCTCAAAACTATGTTCTTGTTGGTTGATATATTGTTACCAGCCAGCATCCTATTATCCCAGTACTCTTTTAAACCACACGCTACACTCCTTCGGTCGGCGACTGTACAGTATATAGTATCAGTATTGTTACTCAGTAGTAATGTCGCTTACCCCATTTGTACCCCAGTGGTGTTCCTTGTGACGACACAAGAGCACATACGATGTCGTGCGTAGCACAAAACATTGTAAAATAGTATGCGCGGCCATACACTGAAAGTATACAAACTGTCGATATTTAGCACTGCAATTGTAATTGCCTACAAACAATGCGTAAGGATCAATTTTCTGTAGGCGATTTTGACAATTTGTATTTTATCAGTGTGTTACCTTTCGTACCAAAACAAATAATAAAACTTATGATTATTTTGTACATTGGTTTTTTTATTTCAAATTACCTCCTTTATAAACGTTAATTGTAAATAAGTGCGTCAAGTTAAAGTTTAACTTCTACTCTAATAGCAGACAAGTTAAACGGAAGGGAAGAAAGAGCTTCAAATGAGAGAAACATAACTTGACAGCCACTCTTCATAGGTAAAATAAATTTTGTTGAACATCCTTTTTACGAACTCCCAAAAATGCGTTTAATTGTCTGGGATTGTACAGTCAACAGCATATCAAGCAGTACACTTTCGTTCGTATATCATCACCTCCACTATTCAACAACGGAATAAGATCCGTCAATGTGTAACTTGGTATGTTGCTGTCCGTACGTGAAGTATACAAAGTGTGAATGTTTAAGTACAAACTTCGCTCTCGGCAGTAAAATGTATTTCTTATGTATACACTAACGATTTACAAAGTCCATATAAGGCTCAATTTACTATGCTGCGAAACGGAATGGAAACTTAATTTTGTAACAAAATAATACATAGCATAATAAATCATGTCAATTGTGTAACGTACAAACTAGATACGGTAATTCCAGAGACTGCTCGAAACTTCTCGGGAAGACGCACGACCTATTTGTTTTTCTATCCAGAAAGTAAGTGAGATGATAAGACAACAAACTTATCTGGAAACTAAGGGCCTGTTAAGCGATAACCAATACGGTTTCCGGATGGGAAGATCCACTGATCAAGCTTAATTTTATCAACATGATTGTTCAAGACCTTGATTATAGAAAGAAAAGTTTGGCCATTTTCCTTGATTTAAAAAAAGCGTTGGATGCTGTATCACATTCTATTTTATCATCCAAATTAGAATCACTTGGCACACGCGGCACTCAATTTTTACTTTTCCAAAGTTACCTCACCGGCAGAACCCAACGTGTTATCGTCGATCATTACACTAGTGTTGCCCTCTCCATCTGCTACGGAGTTCCCCAGAGCAACATAGTGGGACCTACCCTATTTCTAGTCTACGTTAATGACCTGTGCAATTTGCCTATTCCTGAAGATCAAATAACGGCTTTTGCCGATGACACCGGTCGATACTTTTCTGGAGATATCTGGGATGGGAATATAGCCTGTTCTCTCTAAATATTTCAAAAACAAAATAACCTTAACCTTGTAACCTTCTTTATTTTTTTTTAATAATCGTGTGATAATATGCTTGGTAGGATCTGGAGGGTGCTCCATTATCACTGCTCACTCCCCCCAATGTTCCAACATCCCCTGTTCTTGCCCTTGTCTAGAGAAAACAAACTAATTTAAACACCTAGGCGACCTATCTTAACCTATATTTTATTGCACTGGAGCGTTCTCAGCGGGCTTTGCTTAAACTTTGCACTTTCAATCATAAGCTTTTCCCCACGCATTCCCTTTATCAACATTGTGCGGTCCTTATGGTCCGCCAGTTGTACATTGTTTGTACTGTTCTCCTACAACATCGAAGAAATCACTTGGTCGCTAAATCCTACCATTATAATACCAGTTTCAGTCATAGAATCTTTTGTTTTCTTGGGCCATACTTTTATAACTCTATTCACCGGGCATTAGACATACACTCTCTTCTCAAAAACAAATGCAGGAGAACAGTGTTAACTTGGTTGCAGAACCTTAACTACGAAGAAACAGAAGCTCTCCTTCAACCGGCTGCGTGAAGCGCTCCTGTGAATTCTGTTCTGTATAAATACACTCTCACTCTTTGAAATACACACGAGTGCACACTCACACACATAAACACACACTCACAGACGCATGCAC